GAACAACTCTATAACTGAGCCACATTGGCCAGGGCACTCATGCTGATTTTGAGGTATCTGTGGGGAATATCCAGGTGGAGATATTCCAGTTGATTATAAAGTTTGTTGAAAAGGTAGCTGTAAAAATGTAAGGCCTTATAGTATGAATTTCTTAAGCCAAAAACCCTGGAGGTCAGTTAACTGAATTATTTCATTTTGCAGATAAAGAGATAAGCCTAGACAGATACACCTATTTTCAGAAAGTTACTTAGAGAACTGAGATTAAATTAAGGAAGAATCATTCAGGGCTGTTTCAGCCCACCAGACTGTATTTCATTTTTATATCTTGTTGGTTTTACCATTATTCAAAATACATAGTTTTCTCAGAATCCCACTTATACAGAGAACCCCAGATAAAAGGCAGAAATCCCACTTGCAGTTAGTTGTTTTTTTTGTCACTGCATAACTGACTTCTTAGAGACCCTGCCATGCTCAAGAAAATAAAGAGAAAGTGATCTGATTAATAGAAGTGACTTAGAGTGAGCAACTCTAAACATCACATTGTTACTCTTACCTGGCTGCACTTATTTCTGTGCTCAATTGTTAAAGAATCAGTCATTTGGTTGTCATTTTGAAAGGAAACAAAACCAGTATGTTCATCAGAGGCCATGAGGTAAATGGGTTGTTCAGTTACTATGGGCTGTGCTAACAGAAGTTGATAAGCAGAAGTGTCAAGAGCTACTTTAAAAATTGACATGATAAACACTTTTATAAAGTCAGGGGCCATCATACCTCAAAGAATTCTAGAGAAATGAAGTTTCTTTTAAGTAAGTTACTGGTTTTAAAAACAAAAACAAAGCATTCAAGTAATAGCATAAAATTAGGACCTAAATTCTTAGGGCGGTATGAAGATAGTGAAGAGAACAGGTTTCCGTTTTCTCTGTAAGGAAGAAAGGTGAATGGGAGAAGAAATGAAATGAAATTTATCATGTACCAAATGGTCATAATAAATACATTATATTATTTCATCCCTCAGATCACCTATATGAAAGCAAACATTATAAGCACTGTATAAATGTGGAAACGAGGCACAAAGGGATTACCAGGGGTGGGCAAACTTTTTGACTCGAGGACCACAATGGGTTCTTAAACTGGACCGGAGGGCTGGAACAAAAGCATGGATGGAGTGTTTGTGTGAACTAATATAAATTCAAAGTAAACATCATTACATAAAAGGGTACGGTCTTTTTTTTTTTTTAGTTTTATTCATTTCAAACGGGCCGGATCCGGCCAGCGGGCTGTAGTTTGCCCACGGCTGGATTAGACAGTGGTGGCAATGTGTGACTAGATGCAAGGGCTTTAGTTTTAGGCATCCTGGCTTTATACCTGTTAAGCCTTAGTTAATACTAAGTAACTTACCTTCTGTATATACTTACACACTGTATATACTTAACATTACTTGCTTATCAATACTCCTTTGGGGGTATGATCACCATTGGTAAATGATGATAATGCTATCTGCCTCATAGAGTGATTAGGAGGATTATACATGTCATGCAAATAGCACTGTGTTATGCCTCGCCATATGTAAGCATTAAATAAATTAGCTATTTACCATCGTCTTAAGACCATGCAACAAGTAAGTGGCAGATAGAGATTCCATGCTTTTTTTGATTTTGAACTGAACTTATGCACTATAGCTAGTTAACTCTTTAAGCTTCTGAAATCTTAAGGGTGAAGAGTAGAGCTCAGGGAGCAGGACAGGTAACATTGATGATATATTACGAGTTTGGGAGAAGGCAGTAGGCAGGGAGCTGATAGACCCAATTCTACTTGAGAAGAGCATTTAGAACTGTTAAGAAAAACTATAATTTAATTAATTTTTTTTAAAAAAACTGTAATTTTAAAACTGAATCTTGATTTAAGGGGAAGGCTATAAATTATTAGCTAAGAATATTTATCCGTGTGGAAGGAAAAGGTCACCAGGAAAACTACTTACTTTACCCAATGCATAGCACAGATATTTGACATCTGATATTGAGTTTCTAAAAATATGGGTGTCCCCCAATATATATATATATATATATACACATTTTGAATAATGATAGTAATTCCAATGGGTTAAACCTGAAAAGAAACATTGAGTAAACTATCAGCTGTGCAGACATTTTTTTGGGCTACCCTGTATTTTGATTCTCTTGCCTTTTTAGAAATCCTGAAATGAGTTCTTTTGTCTCCTATGTTATTTATAAATCACAAAGTTTCTTGTAGCTAGCAAAATATCACTAATGTCAATCTTGCTAATAAATTTACCTTTTTTCTTCTTATAATAACAACTTTGAACTCCCATCACTTCTAATCCCAAAATAAAGCTGCATAGAGCTCCCTCTAGTGTCAATACAGCAAAATATAAGGGCCACTGAGTTCTCATAAGACTTATAGGTAAATTCATTCAATACATTTATATATTACTAGAGGCCCAGTGCACGAAATTTGTGCATAGGTAGGGTCTCTAGACCTGGCCGGTGATCAGGGCCCAACTGAGGGGAGACCGGTGGGGCGATCGGGGCCCCTGCTCACACCTGCCTTGGCCTGGCACTGCCCCCTCACCTGCTCCACTATCCTGCCGCAGTCCCGCTCTCATCCGGTCCCATTGGGGCTGGCAGTACCTCCACTGCTGCCCGCTGCCAGCGCTGCGTAGCCTGTACCAGCCATGTTCTGTGCCACCCCCTGGTGGTCAACACACGTCTAACTCCTGGTTGTTTGAACTCCTGCCCATGGGGACAATTTGCATATTAACCTTTTATTATATAGGAGGATGCCCTCATTTGGTGTCAGATACTATATTTATTCTCTTACCAGACATCATGGTCCTAATTATACAATATCTTCTAATGTGAGCAGCTACAATCTTTAGAAGTGTATTATATCCTAAGAGAGCAGTGTAAACAGCTTTTCTAAACAGTACTGCCATCCAATTCAGTTTACATTAGATGCACAAAGCTAATACAATGCTAATGAAATAAATAGCTTAATGTAGTATAGATATCAGACAACTGTTAACTTCTCTTTGTTCTCTTTATTTATAAATTTAAGGAAATGGCAATGTGAGCCAATTCGATCCCAACAAAAATGGCCTGAATATGTTAGGCAGGCAATTTTCTTAGCGTTATCAACACGGATATTCTGGGACAGCGGTCACCAACCTTTCGGACCTCATGAACCACCAGTGATCCACGGACCATCGGTTGGTGACTGCTGTTCTAAGACATAGAGAGGTATAATTTCTTGAGATCTTAAATGCAATACAAATTGATTGTGAATACAAAAACCAAAATCTTTAACATGTTAAGTCACTTTTCTTGTCCTATATATTGTCAATAGGTTTTCTATGAAAAAAGAATCCCCTAGTCAAGTAAGATTAAGATATGATGGGTTAAACCAAACTAATCTGCTTTCCTTCCTGAAGGACCTCTCAGAATTTGTAGTATGCTAATGTACACGGTGAATCCCCAGTACAGCACAGCATACAGCTTTTCCCAAACTTACTTGACTATGGATCCTTTTCTCCCAGAAGACCTAATGACATCAAGAAAGCTAATGTTCAATGGAACAAACATCCTTTGGGAAATGACCTAATCCAAACAAAGCTGCATCAGTTTCTTTGCTTTCATCACAAATCCCCAGACCTCTACTCAAAGTATCAAAATGACACTCTTCCCCAATCCTAGTATCTTTCACTGGGTAATCACTGACTTTGCTTTGAAATTTCAATGCTCTAGAGTCTCAAATACCTGGTAATCCTCCAGTTCTTTCTGATTAAATAAGCAAGTGGCTTCAAGTTTATGACATCATTCAAGGTTATCAATTTCCTTTCCAATCCAAACAAATAATTCCATCCTCTCTCAGGTGCTGAAATAGAAGATGCTGCTTTCCACAGACCTTATCTATGGACTCACCCTGATCCTAAATGTAACCTGAAGCCTAATTGGAAGAGAAAGTATAATGGTTCATAATTCGGCTCAGAAAAGCATTTGGAATCATAATGGCAGGTGCCGGCACCGGCTTCCCTTTGGCACCCGGGACGGTTTTCACTCCAGCACCCGGGACCTGGTTTTCCCTGCAGCCACCGGCAGGCACCGGGGACCCCATTTCATATCACTGGATTTGTAAATTATCTTAAGGCCCAGCCTGTGTAGAGTGAGAAAAAGGAGAGGAGTAAGGCAAGGAGAACAGCTTTTTGAATCCCCTGGAGTTGAATTCATCCAGCACAGCTTCAGTAACTGGCTGAACCAATTTAATTCCTAACAAATATTAAAGAACACCCAAAGCTAAATGTGAATTAATAAAATCTATTTCCAAGATAAATGTCTATTTGGGGTTATCTATTTTTTATTACAATTCAGGATAATTAGAATAGTATGTTTATTTCAGTCAGAATTCATAATGCTCTTTTAAACTTATGATAGGTCTGTCTTCTCAAGTTATTTGCTATTTTCTTCCTGAAGCTAAATTCCAGAGAAAAGTCCTTTAGAATACAACTAGAGGCCCAATGCACGAAATTCATGCAAGAGTAGGCATTCCTTCCCCTGACTGCCGGCACCGGCTTCCCTTTGGCACCCGGGACGGTTTTCACTCCAGCACCCGGGACCTGGTTTTCCCTGCTGCCACCGGCAGGCACCGGGGACCCGGTTTTCCCTGCAGCCGGTTTTCCCTGCAGCCGCTGGCAGGCACCCGGGACCCGGGCTTCCTTCCAGCCTCCAGCAGGCACCCGGCTTCATCCGGAAGGACATCTGGTCTAATTAGCATATGATGCTTTTATTATTATAGATAAGGCATTTTTAGAGATATTGATGTCAGAATATTAAATAACTAAAAATCAAGCAAGTAAATTAAGACCTGTCTCATTTCATATCACTGGATTTGTAAATTATCTTAATGAAGTTCACATATACGCAACTCAAAGTAAATTTATAATAGAAATATATAACCCAACTAAAAGAAATCCATCACAATATAACTAAAATTATGTAATTGTATATTTATTTATAAAATAACAAAAGATTTAGAAATAGATCTGTTTATTGTGAAAATGGTCTTGGTATATGTGAGAACATTATATACTTTGAAGACAGCATTTATAACTGTTAAGACAAAAGACAAACTATAATTTTAAACTCAGTCTTGATTTAAGGGAAAGGCTATAAATTATTGGCTGGAATGCATTCAGCATGAACTCAGATTCTATATAACATAAAGCATGAAAGTACAAAAGACGCTGGAGTCCAGTAAGCCCATACCTAAATTTTAACTATAAAGCTGCAAGGACTTTTTGTTTATTCTTATATACTATTTTTCTTCTGAGACAAGTTGATTTTATCTCCAAGACTTAAGGCCATTCCCTGTAAACAAGAACACAAAAATGTTTATAATTATTGAAACTATGTAAAACCAGTAGGTAATTCTATCTTAACAAGCCCCCATTCAGTAACACCACATTCAACAATGAAACCAAGGAGTACAGATCAGACTCAACAAAAACTTAGTTGGTTATTACATACTACTAGTGCTAGATTAACAAAATGCCAGTAGATTTGTAGCTGAGATTTCAAAAACCTCTGAAGAACCCATTTCACAAATACCCCATGGGAATCAATCTGGTTTTAAGCAAATACCCAGAATGAAAGGCCCAAAAGAGCCATTTTAATAAAACAGAAGTTGTATTTCTATTCAGAGAATACATTTGCACCTAATGCACAAAACACTAGTATGACAGAGAAAATTACATATAGAAATAAGAAAAACTTAAAGTCTCCATCCTTTTGTTCAATTCAGAGATGAACTCAAAAAAAGCAATTGTTGCTTGGCAGGCGTGGCTCAGTAGTTGAGCGTCGACCTATGAATCAAGAGGTCATGTTTGATTCCTGGTCAGGACACATGCCCTGGTTGCAGGCTCGATCCCTAGTAGGGGGCGTGCAGGAGGCAACCGATCAATAATTCTCATCATTGATGTTTTCTATTTTTCTCCCTCTCCCTTCCTCTCTGAAATCAATAAAAACGTATTTTTAAAAAAGCAACTGTTACCTGACTTTTTGCACGAATTCTTATATGGCCAGTAACAGGGGCCTCTGGTCCCTGTTGAATAGGCTTCTCAATGCTGACATTTGCAAGTGCATCTTCTCCAAATATGGAACGAGCATAGAGGTTGGCTGCCATAAAGCCACAGTAACCAGAAAGTGCCTGGAAGTAATTTGTGATAAATTCAATACTTTGCTATTTCTAGAGAACTTACACATAAGCAAGACCAAAGAGCACAGATAAATTATGTGGTAGTTATCATGTGATGGTGATTATATGACTACATGAATTTGTCAAAATTCATGGCACTACACATGAAAACAGTGTGGATTTTACCATGTCTATATAAACCTGACTTTAAAGATATAGCACTTATACCAATTTGTATTTATACATCCTCTATTTATAGTTGTTTTCCTTCTACATCAGACCTTAAGCTCCATGAAGGAAGAGACTTAATTTAATTTTTTTCATTACTATATATCCAACAGCTCACAAAGTATTGGGCATATAATAGTTATTTGAATAGCTGTTGGACTCTTAAAACGTACTTTTCTAGCAGCAGATAGCCTTTTACTGATACAATTAATATTATTACATTAGCAGATATTCCTTAGAGCCTCAGCTTCATTTTTTCTTTCTAGTCTTTTTCATACACACACAAATATAGCAGATAAGCAAAGTATATCAACAATTCTGTATTTAAGCAGATATATTCTGACCTACAAGCAGAGCCAACAGAAGACACCACGAACACTTTCTAATTGAGTATTAAAAACTATTTTGGAATAAGCCTTTAGCTGAAAGGGAGAAGACTGAAAAGAAAAACTAATCTGACTATTCAGTTAGGTCACTGCACTAGGAACAAGCTGGCTGATATGTTCCAGTGGAGCAGGGGTGGGGAATGTCTGGCCCGTGGGCCTTATCATTTGGTCAGGCCCTGCCAAGGCATGAGACCAAGGCATTAGAGGTGAGTCAATTAAATGTCTGACCAAATAAAGCAGGCTAATTTTTAAGCTGATAATTTTGTATAGCCCAGGAATGATGTTATAAATATCCAAATGGCCCTTTGCAAAAAAAGGTTCCCTACCCCTGCAGTAGAGAGAGGTAAGCAGATTCATACATTCTATGGGGTAACTTCTTTTAGCTAGTCCAGAATGAAACTGCTTTTCTCATGCTGAATAATAACAAAAATACACTAGAGGTTCTTATACAAGAAAGCCAAGAATCTACCACACTACTATCAGATTTCAGGTCTCAGTTCAATCTTACCTTCTCTGGAGTGAGGCATTTCATGTTGGTTGACTTTAATATGTGTTGTAAATAGTCATTTAAATCAATTATATTTGTGTTAACTGTCACCTGTACAGAAAGAGAAAAAAGTCAAGGAGATTATAATTCTTTTTTTTTTTTTGAGATTATAATTCTTACAATGAGAAAAGTTGTGTATTTCTTATGTTGGGGTTGAGAAACAATCACTCATATGTCATATGAGAATGTTTTTCCAAGTATTTAGTGGGAAGGACAGACAATAAAAAAGTAAATGACATGTACAAAACCTAGCAAACTATAGGATGGTATCAGAATTTTCAGATACAGATTACTTCATAGAAGATTAACATATTGCATATAAAGTATTTCTAATAAAAATCAGGACTCAAAGAAAGTTATGCAGTAAGCCACTGACTTTGCAAAGCCTCTTTTGGACACTGGATTCAATTATAACTTAATATTCATACATACAATAAATGGAATATTATCTATAATGTTGATCAATCATTCAGATTAATTGTAGAACTGCTACTGTCACCAATTTACAACAGTAATTAAACAAACTAACTTGCATGACTTTCAATTAAGGCTAATTTGCAAGAACAGATATTGAAATACTTTGCTTCTCACATCTGACACCTGTTAATGGGATTAATTTTATAGGAGAATCCCTCAACATTAGCTAAAAAGAAACAAAGATAAGGAGTTCAAGCAAATCTCCCTAGGACTAACTTTGTTTTCCCATTCAAATTCGGCCCACATCTGACGGAATTCAGCATCAGTGCAAGTTGCAGGCTGGATGTAGTCCATGATGTCAATGTGAATATCACTGAGGACCACACAATTTCTGTCACTTGCTGCTCCAGAGACATCATAAACTGCAATACACATACACAAAACGATCCCAAATCACCAAAGGAAAATTTTAATTTAGTTTCAATATTTCCAAATAATGATTATGGTATTAGTAAATATTATATAATGCTTATTGTACATTGCTTGATTCTAAATGCTGTACAAATATTACCTGCTTAACATTCACATCAAGCCTTTGTTATAATATTATTTTCCATCTTACGGATGAGGAAACAAAAACAAAGAGAAGTTAACTAAGTTGCTCAAGGTCACAGAGCTAATAAGTGGTGGGAGCCAAAAAACTCAGATGCTGTATTAGGCACACCAGGAGAAAACACAAGTAGTAATGCCACACTGCATTGTAATTATATATTTCTTTAATTCCTCCTTCTGCTTGACAGTTTCTTGAGGACAATGACTCCATCTGGTTCATTTCTGTATATCCAAAACAGAACAGTGCTTAGTACCTCAGCAGGTGCTTCATAAATGAATGTGTGAATGGATTCAGGTTCTGTCCTCAAGAAATGTCAAACAGTTATTCATTACAGAAATTCTCTAACAAAAATATTCAAACATCACATGCTGTAATTTCTTACCTATGTTACCAAATATTATTCCATTTTCTGTTGATGCTACTTTAACATTAGCTTTAATATTTGCAAAATCATGAGGAGCAAGAGTCAAAGGAGATGGCTTTTCCACAAGTTTTAGATCCCCTGAAAAAAATTTAGACAGTTATAAAGACATATATAAATCTTTCAAATCACAAAACCTTAACATGCATACAGCTTTATGGTTTCGAGCAAAGTAAGAAACAAGAGAAGGGTTATGATTCAAATATTATGAGGACAAAATAAAGAAATCATTTAACACATTATTCATTTCAATATGCACATTTTCTTTTAAAAGGTAATAGGCTTCTCAGGATAATTCTATATTTAATGCGCGCGCGCATCTTTCAAATCACAAAACCTTAACATGCATACAGCTTTATGGTTTCGAGCAAAGTAAGAAACAAGAGAAGGGTTATGATTCAAATATTATGAGGACAAAATAAAGAAATCATTTAACACATTATTCATTTCAATATGCACATTTTCTTTTAAAAGGTAATAGGCTTCTCAGGATAATTCTATATTTAATGCGCGCATGCGCGCATGTGCGCGCGCGTGTGTGTGTGTGTGTGTGTGTGTGTGTGTGTACTGTGGGCATATCATTTTATTTTACTGAATGAATACAACTTCTCAAAAAGTTTGTCATATACTATAAACTCCATTACAAAGAAAAGATAAAACTCTGCAGAAAGATGTAAATTCTTAGAAACATAGTTCTTTATATAAACATCAAGCTATGCTGAGGGCAGAAGTAATTTTCCCTTGATATCTTACTAATAAAGTCCTTTAACTCTTGTTTAAGCCATATGGAATTTCCTAGGGGCACTGCAATGTTTCTGTATACAATTTATATTTCCCAACTTCAAGGCCAGATGTAGAAGTGGTCAAAGTCTGATTCATGTGTCTTCAGTAAGAAAAACAAAAGGCATCTCAAATTGCTAAATATAATAATGATATATTACTCTGGCCACATGTGGTATGTATTGCTTATAGACTCAGAACACACATAGGTCTGTACTAAGGGAATTAAAAATTTAACTAAGTGAGCTACTTGGTAAATCTGTAACTTAAATAGTTCTTTTTTTTTTTTTATGTTTCTCATTGCCTTTGATTCATTTTATTCAAAATTAGCTGTCCAAAGTGATTTGACCGTTATGGAATAAACAAATGTAAGTTTATGCCACAGGCTTCTTTTCTTCTGTGGTGGGTTTCTTTTCTGCCGGCTTCTTCTCAGCTGCTGGTTTCTTGGTAGCTGCAGCCTTTTTCCC